AAAACTTAACATGGACTGTGTCATTTTCAATGACTTGTTTTAATTAATGCTGTCCCAGAGCAATATCTCCCAATATGGACAAGTACTTGTTTGACAATCAGATACAAATGTCAATCATTTTAATGTTAAACAATCATTATAATCATATTCCTGACATGGTTATATTCCAGCTATATTACTATAAACAAAAATATATATCTTAAATTTGATAACTAACAGGGACTGTGCCATGCATGGCCTGTATCTTACTGAATTCAAGGTAAATACGCTTATATTCATGAACATAATTACTATTTAAGTGTTTGTCATAATTGCAGTGTACATCGATGCCTCCATATCAAGGACTGGTCGGAGACAGTGATAATGAGAACATAGACATGGCTTACAGAGTCTTGGCTGATCACATTAGAACATTGACCATTGCCATCACTGATGGCGCTAGACCTGGTAATTTCAAACAAAGGTGAGAGATATTCAAATATAATTGCTGAATCTGAATTATAATAAAAATGTTTCTTTTAACTAATTAGTTGTTAAATGTGAAGAATAATTAAAATATAGAATTCACAACTGCCCCAAATTGCGTAAAAAAATATGACCGCTATGTGATGGATTAGAGTATTCTATTACCTGACCTGACAGGGGTGACAGTTAGAAAACATTAAGCATTATAAACATAGTAAAAATTAATTTAACTTTGAATAAGATAATCTCTCTCTATTTCTTGTAGTTATATTATCAAAAGACTGATTAGAAGAGCTGTCAGATATGCTACAGAAAAGCTGAATGCTTCTCCAGGGCAGTTTGCCAGTCTAGTACCAATTGTCGTTGACACTTTGGTATGTTAAATTTAAAGTCTGATTAAAGGAAAAGTCAAGCCAAACAACATAATTACCCCGCAAGAAAAAAAACCCACAAATGTAGGAGAATGCAATTTACAGTTTTTTTATATCACATTTCATTCTCTAGATATTCAACTTTTCATCAGTATTATGTAGTCATCTTGATTCTCAAGCAAAGGATTATGGGTAAAGTATGACATCATAGAATCTGTTGTCAGAAATTGAGAAAATGATTTTATAAATTGATGAAAAGTTCAATATCTAGAGAATGAAGCTCTTTTATCTGACAGTATTATGTTGTTAGCCTTTACTTTCCCTTCAACTGAGGGGTGATGGTCATTATTTTGGGAATAAACAAAATAAACTTATATATAAAAACAAAGCATCAAAATCTTGTCTCTTTCAGATAAACAAACATACATACATTGTATTCTGCACACCAATTTAATCGTTTTATATTTGCAAGAGTCAAATGTACATGAATTTCGCGAGTTGGTAAATATCCTGAAATGTTTTAGTTGTGAAAATTTCTCTAGGGTTTTATGACATGAAATGACTGTGACTTTCGCAAAATTTTGTCTTCATAAAAGACTTAGTATCATCAAATTTTGAAAATTTTCAGCATTGAAATTAAAGGTACGTGCCGGGTCCTGTTCGATATGGGACTCATAGCGATGTACACAATGTGTGTAAAACACGTACTGCACAGGACCAACACTGAGCTTTAAGATGTTTACAGTATGTTACGTGAGGTCCATTTTGATTATGAAGAAGTTGTCTGTAACGCCTTGAATATCTCATACTTGCTGAAAATATTTCACATACAGATACAGAATATATTTAACCACACAGATAATGTACTTTTGATATATGCACGGTGGATTGTTTCATCAAACATTTTTCTGTATTTTTGAATAATTTGTTTTGTGCATTTTGGACTAAATAAACTAAATTTACCATCACCTAGAGATTCTGATCATTTTCTGGAAAAAAATTGATGCTGCCTTCTTAAAAAAAGTTGACAAATGATGAGTCAAAGGTCAAATAGTTGAGATCTGATGTTGTGCATACAATGTACAATTTGTGCTATAGAAACTGACTTAATATTTCATGACACAGGGTGATGCTTATCCAGAATTACTGACCAATCCACAACAAGTTATCGATGTCATTAACAGAGAAGAAGACCTGTTTTTAAAACAGTTAAAGAAAGGAAGAAAATTTCTTGACAAAAAGATCTCTAAACTGAAGGAACCCAGAATACTGCCAGGTATGACAGTGCTATATATGTGATATGATATTCAAATTTAAATTCTTTGAATATGTAAAGTTGGGTTGAGAAATATGGTAATAATCTTGACACTACATCAAGGCAAATTACCCGTTAACCCTTTCACCACCAGACTTTGTCTGCATTTTTCTCTTATACTTTTCAACATTTCTGGAAATGAACTCTAATTTCATTTTTTACTCAAAAAATTTTGCTATTTTTGTCCTAATTAGGGTTCATTTCCAGTAATATTGAAAAATATAAGAAAAAAAAAACAGAAAAATTTCAGCAAGAAGGTCTGTTGTTGTAAAGGTTAAATATAGTACCGGTAGTGGAGCAAATTTATATTTGCACTCTAGAAATGTAAATGAAACGAAGAGTTGTGTGGATAAAAAATTAGATCAAGTACTTGCTGTGATGTCATGTGTGATGACACAAATAATAAAGTGGTCACCTGTTCTCCTGTTCTATAATGACCATAATCTTTGCACAGGTTTCAGATATATACCAACCGTCATTATGAACATGTATTTTTCTAACACAGTTTGTTGCCTCGTTCAGCCTATATACATGTATGTAGCAGTTAATATGTGTTGTCATGACGATATATATTTTTAGGTGACATAGCATGGAAGATGTATGATGGGTTTGGTTTTCCAATTGACCTAACGATATTGATGTGTAATGAGAAAGGAGTGTCAGTTGATATGGAGGGCTATGAAGAGGTTAAAGAGAAAACTCACCAGGTAGGTCAAGAGAGGAGTTTTACTTATTTTAGTTGCTTGGCAACCTACTTTTCATTAGTTTTTGGATGGCCCAAGCCATAAATAGGCTTATGTTAATTACAAAAAAAAGCCTACATAAATAATTTAGCAATTCAGACTTTGCATGTGTCTCTTTTTGGTATCTTTTCTCTGTTTAGATTACTTCCCAGGGTGGTATAAAGAACCAGTTAGAATATGGGTTTGATACCAATGCTCTACAACAACTCAAACATCAGAACATCTCCACAACTGATGATAGTTACAAATACAGCTATGAGTGTGACGATGATGGTAATTATGGTGAGTTGATGGTAATTATCATGAGTTGATGGTAATTATGGTGAGTTGATGGTCATTATGGTGAGTTGATGGTAATTATGGTGAGTTGATGTTAATTATGGTGAGTTGATGGTAATTATCATGAGTTGATGGTAATTATGGTGAGTTGATGGTCATTATGGTGAGTTGATGGTAATTATGGTGAGTTGATGGTAATTATGGTGAGTTGATGGTCGTTATGGTAAGTTGATGGTCATTATGGTGAGTTGATGGTAATTATGGTGAGTTGATGGTAATTATGGTGAGTTGATGGTAGTTATGGTGAGTTGATGGTCCTTATGGTGAGTTGATGGTAATTATGGTGAGTTGATGTTAATTATGGTGAGTTGATGGTCGTTAGGGTAAGTTGATGGTAGTTATGGTGAGTTGATGATCATTATGGTGAGTTGATGGTAATTATGGTGAGTTGATGGTAATTATGGTGAGTTGATGATCATTATGGTAATTATGATGAGTTGATGGTAATTATGGTGAGTTGATGGTAGTTATGGTGAGTTGATGGTCCTTATGGTGAGTTGATGGTAGTTATGGTGAGTTGATGGTCATTATGGTGAGTTGATGGTAGTTATGGTGAGTTGATGATCATTATGGTAAGTTGATGGTCATTATGGTAATTATGATGAGTTGATGGTAATTATGGTGAGTTGATGGTAATTATGGTGAGTTGATGGTCCTTATGGTGAGTTGATGGTAATTATGGTGAGTTGATGATCATTATGGTGAGTTGATGGTAGTTATGGTGAGTTGATGATCATTATGATGAGTTGATGGTAGTTATGGTGAGTTGATGGTCATTATGGTGAGTTGATGGTAGTTATGGTGAGTTGATGATCATTATGGTAAGTTGATGGTCATTATGGTAATTATGGTGAGTTGATGGTAATTATGGTGAGTTTATGGTAATTATGATGAGTTGATGGTAATTATGGTGAGTTGATGGTCATTATGGTGAGTTGATGGTAATTATGGTGAGTTGATGATCATTATGGCGAGTTGATGATCATTATGGTAAGTTGATGGTCATTATGGTAATTATGTTGAGTTGATGGTAATTATGGTGAGTTTATGGTAATTATGATGAGTTGATGGTAATTATGGTGAGTTGATGGTCATTATGGTGAGTTGATGGTCATTATGGTGAGTTGATGGTCCTTATGGTGAGTTGATGGTAATTATGGTGAGTTGATGGTAATTATGGTGAGTTGATGGTAATTATGGTGAGTTGATGGTAATTATGGTGAGTTGATGGTCCTTATGGTGAGTTGATGGTAATTATGGTGAGTTGATGGTAGTTATGGTGAGTTGATGGTAATTATGGTGAGTGATGGTAATTATG